GATTAAATGGGTTTCAAGAGCATGAAGAGAATGTCTTGGGGGGGGTGGGGAATGGCTTATTGGTTCAACCACACATAGGGAGCATCCCCATTCCACGGTCCATTTTAAGTGTTGGAAGAACATGCTGAGCAGATGCAGGAAGGTTTTGGTGTCATGGAGCTTTCCTTCTTGTGGGGGAAGATGCATAATTAGCAAACATACATTGCAATTTAAATGGTAAATACAATAAAGAGTCCAAAAAAAAAAAAAAAAAACAACAGATACTGGGACGTAGACTGGGGTGGCATATCAGTTACTTTACACATTGCTGAGGCAAAGATACTTCACAAGAAAAACTTAATTTATGGGAGAAAGGGTTTGTTCCGGCTTACAGTTCAAGAGTGGAGCCCACTGTGGCGGCAGGAGGAGCTTGAGGAGGCAGCTAGTCAGGTCCATCCACAGTCGAGCAACAGAGAGTGAGAAGGCCCACTTCTCAGTTAGCTTCTGCATTTTCACCTAGTCTGGTATTCAAGCTCAAAGAACAGTGCCATCCACTTTGACGATGGGTCTTCTCACCTCAATTAACCTAATCTTGACAATCCCTCATGGGCATGCTAGAGGCCTGTCTCCTAGATATTCTAGATTCTGTCAAGCTGGTAAAGAACACTAACCATCCCTGGCAGGAAGGAAGGTGTGGCATGTCACACGCCTTTATCAGAAAACATCTTGTTGGGAGATGAATAGGCTAAACTGTCTAATGAAATAAAAACATAGTGGTGTGAACACAACAGAAGGTTATTTCTCACTTGCATTAACAATCTAAGAAGAGTGTTCCGAGTCTGTGAGAGGTTCTTTTCCATGTACTGCTTCAGGGAACCAGGCTCCTTCAAAGACCTGAAGACACACAGACCCCAGGACCTTGCCAGGCTGACGTCATGGCGGAGTTACACATTCAGATCTCAGGCAGAGGAAAAACAGAAAGGGCAAAGGCCTTGCCTCAGAAGTGACACTCTCCATGGCTGCTCTCTCTTGGGGAGATCTTGGTCATGTGGCCATGTAGCTCCAAGAAACCCTTAGCAATATGGTAGCTGTGATATCCGTCACAGGACCAGCTGCAGTCAGCAGATGAAGGAGTGAGGTGTCTTAGACAGGGAAGGCAGCCAGAGAGGTGGCGAGGAATGGTCGTATTCGGAATCAACTGGACTTACAGATGGAGCAGAGGTAGAAGGAAGAGAAAGAGAAGTCAGCGCGGATGGTAGCTGTTTGCAGAAATCATATCACTGACTCGGTCTTCAAAGAGACTTGGGAAGGATAGAGTTCTGCTTTAGCCTTGTTAAGTTTGGGGTGCTTAGCAACCCACCCAGGAGAAGTATTAGCAAGGCAATTAGATATTAAAAACTTAAGTTCAAAGGTGATCTAGACTCGGAGTTCTTGTTGTGTGGCTAGCATTTAAAGCACAGGACAAGATGAGCTCTCTCAGAAGTGGGCGCATAGGGAAAAAGAAGGGTGCTAAGGATTGGACATGGGGGTGCTCCTGCATTTTTGAAGGAGGAGAGGAAATAACAAAGGGGGCTGAGAAGAGGGGGAGAGGAAAACAGGAAGGTGGGGTGCCCTGGAGAAGAAAACATTTCAAGGATATCTAATGATGAACAGGCATGAATGGGATTTGAATTAGATTCAGATCTTTGGCAAGCTCGGTAAGAGTACTTAGTGGAATCAGCTGTCTCCAGAGTGGATTAGTGAAGCCATATGTGATGGTACATACCTATGATCTCAGCATTTGGAGGCTGAGGCAGAAGGATTGCAAGTTTAAGGCCAGCCTGGCTACACAGCAAGACCCTACCTCAAAAACAAATGAAGAATGGATTGAAAACATAATGGGCTGTAGATACTGAACAAATAAAATGGTAAAGGAGGTTTGCTGTAAGAGAAAGGGCTGTAGCTAATGAATAACCTGGAAGTACTTGTTTAGGTGAAGAGGGGGACTGAGCATGTGCTGTAAAGGGGGGCAGTGGAGCAGAGGGTGCAGACCCAGGTGGGCCGAAGATACGGTGAGCAGAAGATGTGGAAGTTCTGTGTGCTATTTCAGCACTTAGGAGAATGAGTTCAGTGGACAAGATCACTGAGAAGCTAACGTGGAAGCAGATGTGTGTGCTAGGGAGCACTGGCAGTCTTAGACCGAGTAACCTGTGTTAGTCAGTGTTGCATTACTACCACAACTGAGTTACTACAACTGCATTACTGTAACACCTGCATTACTACAACACCCGCATTACTACAACACTTGACATAACAAACTTAAAAAGACCTAAGGTTGATTTTGGCTGACAGTTTGGGAAATTTTCACCTATAACCAGTTAGCCCGTGGTTGAAGGCCTGTGTCACGATGACCCTTCATGGCAGGAGTGTGTGTTGGAACATAACCACTCACATCATGGCCAGGCCACCAAAGAGAGAAAGAGGAAGAGGCCAGTGTCCCTTTCAAGAACATGCCTCAATGACCAAAAGACCTTGCACTAGACTCCTGTTGCTTGCCATGGTGAGCTTTGAGAGCACTAAATGTCTAAACTAAGGCAGCACCTGAACTAGGTAAGATGGTAGTGAAAACAGGAAGTAGGAAACAGCAGAAATATTCCAGGGTCCCTCTATGGACCAGGAGTGAAAGATGGCTGAACAAATTAGCTGAAAAAATATGATACACACACACACACACACACATACACACACACACACACACACACACACACACACACACACACACAATATTAGTTACCTGTGATGACAACTCTTGAGTGTGGCTAAGGAGGAGAAATCCGAGTGAGTGAAAGAAAGATTGATGGAGGGAAGCTTTCAAGGAACCGAGAGAGGAGGGTGTTGAGTGTGTTGTTTCTATAAGAGTTACCAAGAATGAAGGCGGAGTGCTGACAGAGAAAGATGGCAGGTCACGGGCTGAAATCTTTACTCAGAGATAACCAGGGAGATGGTGAAAGACTATGACCGATGTAGGGCAAACTGTCGGACTTGCTGTTGCTGTTACAAGTACCCGAGGAAGGCGACCTCAAGGGAAGAGTTGTCTTTACTCTTGGCCTGACTCTTCAGTGGTTTCAGTCTACAGCTGTCCATTGTGTTGCCTCTGGGTCCATGGTGTTGCAGAATGTCATGGTGGCAGGAACTTGCGGTCCAGGCTGCTCACCTCATAACGGATAGTAAGCAGAAAGAGAAGAAGGGACAGGGGACACCACACACTCCTCAGAGGCACGTCCCCACCCGAGTGACCTCTTTCCTCCAACTCAGACCCAGTTCTAATGGCTCTCTTACCTCCTAATAATGCTATCAGGTTGTGAAACCATCGGTGGTTAATACATTTATGACATCATAGCTCTCATGATCCAACTGCTTCCCTGAAAATCCATCAGCAGGCAAATAAGCCTGCATGAGTACGTGTTCAAACCATAACAGGGTGTGAAGTAATCCAATGAATCTGACATACTTCGGAGGAGCTTGGTCTGTTTTGGGTTAGTCTGGTTTGGTTTTTGCTTTTAAGTCAGTCTCTTTGTATAGCTCAGGCTGGCCTAGAACTTGTCCTTCTTCTTTCTGCCTTAGCTTCTCGAGCACTGAGATTATAGATTCCAGTGCCACAGCTGTCCAGAGGGGCTAGTTCTAAAAGGCACAGGGCCCAGGGAAGATAGCAGACTTACACTGAAACACATAGCCAGTTGTGAGCCCTAGCCTCAACATCAACATGGATCCTGTCCCCCATGAAGCACGCACTCCAGGGGGCGTAGACACATAGAAATAAGTATATAAAGACATGGATACAAATGGCAGTAATTCTGTGAAAGAGGAGGTGGGACAAAGGAAATGTGAATACTATGAGGAATTAGGTTGTTGTGGTAGGGATGAACTTTTGTGAGACAGTGATACGGACTATGACCTGAGGGATAGATAATAGGCAAGCAGAGACATAAGGGCTCTGTGAGAAGTGGATCCCAGCAGGATTATGAGAAGTGGATCCCAGCAGGATTCCTGAGACCTACCCATCTGAAGCAGTCCAAGGAAAGAAGAAACTTGGTGCGTGAGACAGGATCAGGGCACAGAGTGAAGAAGGAAGGATTGGGAGAGGAGCTGGCACAGTCTTTGGCTGAAGAATGAATTTGATGATGGAAAGTAAAGAGTTACGGGGTTGACACATTGCCTGAGCAACTAGCTATGGAAGGTTAGTGTCAAAATGAGGCACAAACACACAGCAAAGTTAATCCAACATTACCAGTTGTTTGAATCACCGTGCGCACTGCGGAGCTCATGGTGATTAGACCACATTGTTAAACAACCTATATGCATTTTCATGGTTAAATGAGCATGTCTGGAATCATGTAAACTGAGAAGGCAGAGAGCTAAATAAAACATGCAACTCAGAGGAGCTCCGATGTGCCTGAAACCCACGATGAAGGGAGTGGAATGTGTAGGTATTTGCGCCCAGATCTGTTTGTCCCCTCGGGCTCTTTTTTTGCCAGAGGAAGGAGTAAGGGGAGGGTCCCCCTCCTCCGTCTCCTTTGCCAGCTTCTGGTCTGTATCTGAGGCCAGGCTAGCTTCAATGCCCAGCTGTTAGAGGGTAGCAAAAACTCTCCTGTTATAGACAAAACCAGCCTGGCCCTTTAGTTGGATCACTCTGGGACCCAAACACCAGGTGTCCAGCTCCCCGCTTCTGACCCCCCCATCTGAAAGAGAGGGAAGATCTGGACTTGGAGCCCCCCCAAGACGATGGATACAGATGAATGTGCAGCAGGCTTGGGGAGGCTCCCACTTCTACTCTGGCCTTTCTTCAAATTCTTTTTCAGGTCTGTGCCTGGCGTGAGGCCATAAGCCCTTCATCCTTCCTTCTCTGTGAGCGAGTGCTTGGCGCTGGCTCTAGGCTGAGTTGCACGGCCCAGGGGCCATGAGCTTGTAGATATTTGCTAATAAAAATAGAGAGGGATTGGTAGTAAGTCCGTAATGAAGGATTTGGCTAATTCATTTTTTAGATTTCGTTATGAAATGCAGACTTCAGGAACAAGAGGTCCAGAGGAGACCGAATGCTTTCTACACTTACGTGTGTAACCCCTGGGTCTCCCTCTTAGGGGTGAGTAAGTCCATCTTGATCTCAGTGTCCTGAGAAATGATTCAGGTGAAGGGGTGTGTGTGTGTGTGTGTGAGAGAGAGAGAGAGAGAGAGAGAGAGAGAGAGAGAGAGAGAGAGAGAGAGAGAGTGTGATTTGGGGAAAGAAAAAGTGCTAATTAACATCAACATGATTAAATTGCTTGCTTTATTAGAATTAAGATGAGACCGCTAGGACAAGATTTACATTTAATCAACCACTCACTTTAATCAATTATCTACTTTTTAACTAATCGTATCTGATAACTCCTGGGTTACTAATTTCACGCTAAGGAGTGTAAAATAGTGTGATAGTGAATCTCAAATGTCAACTTGATAAGATCTAGAACGGACAGGGCGACAGGTGTTGGGGCTTGTCTGTGGGGCTCATCTTGATCCCTTGAGGTGGGAAGAACTGCCCATTGTGGGTGGCACCATTCCTTAGGCCGGGATCCTAGACTGAGAAAGTGAGCTGTACAAACATTCTTTACTCTGTGCTCTAGACTGTGGGGACAGTGTGACTGGCTGCCTCAAGTTCCTGCCGCTGTGACTCCGCGCTATGACCGATTTATGACTGTGAGCCTCTAACCTGTGAGGCAAGATAGACCCTTTCTCCCTTCAGCGACTTTTGTCAGGATCGTTTATCACAGCAACAGGAAAAGTAACTAAGACAGAGTGTCTGCTTGCTGGTGGTTTTGATTAAGGGGTTACCTTCAAAGGGTAGTTCTCCCAAAACTTGCTTGAGTATGTGTATAGTTAGTTACTCTTTTCATTCAGAATCCAGAATCATGATTCTAGATCACAATTTTAAAGTTGACAATTGAGACTAACCAATCACAAGTCCACCCCTTGTCAGGTTAACAACCAAACCATTAAGTTTTAAGCCATAACTTTTCACCCCTTGTCCTCATGCTCATGGCCATTTCATATGCACGATGGGTTTAGTTGACCTTGAGGGTCCCCATAACCTTTAACAGTTTCAACAATGTTTAATGCCCAATGTTAAAGTCACATCTGAGAGGCTAGGCCGTCTCTTAACCATGAATTCCTACAAAATTAAAACAAGTTACATACTTCCAGTATGCAATGGCATAGGATAAATATTTTCATTCCAAATGGGAGGGATGGGGACATAGCAAAGAATGATCTGAACGAAGCAATACCAAAACCCAGCAAAGCAAACATCAAATCCTGTAGCTTCATGCCTGCCATCTTGGGGTTATGGGATCATATGGGTTCAAAAGGTTTGGATAGCCCCACGCAGACAGCTCCTCTGCCTGTGGGACCTCAGTCTTTTTTCTTGGCCTACTGTCCTTTATGCCTGTAGCTTTCCTCTGCAGATAACCCATGGTCCAGGCATCTTCAATATTTCCAATAGGCTTCACCTCACAGTTTCACACTGTGGCCTCTCAAGGCCTCTGTATAGGGGCTCCACTCTTTTTTTTTTTTTTTTTTTTTTTAAAGATTTATTTATTTATTATGTACACAGTGTTCTGTCTGCACGTATCTCTGCAGGCCAGAAGAGGGCACCAGACCTCATTACTGATGGTCATAAGCCACCATGTGGTTGCTGGGAATTGAACTCAGGACCTTTGGAAGAGCAAGCAGTGCTCTTAACCTCTGAGCCGTCTCTCCAGCCCCGGGGCTCCACTCTTGCAGCATATTGGCAGGTCTCAGTGTCTCTTTGGCACTGTGGTTCAAGATGCCCCAACACCCCCAGTCTTGCATCTTTATGCATAGAGGATCAATACCACATTGATGATTCTGCCAAATCCTGCTGCCAGCTAGGGACACAGCCTGGCCTTCTTGGACCACAGTTGCATCAGTTTTTGTGTGCTAATCCTGGGAAACCATGTCTCTAGGGAGGTGCCTTTGAGGAATGGGGAACCCCCTTCAGTGTCAGTCTCTATTTCAATTTAGGCTCTCTCCTTCCCAATAAATTTGTGTTTTCACAAAATGGACCTTAAATGGGTGTGGTCTTGCCCCAGGACATCTTTCCTGTTGTCCCATTATGAAGCAGGATGCTTCTCTTTAAAAGTTATAGCCTCTTTCTCAGCATGCTCCTTGGTCTCATAGTTTGACTTGCTAAACTCTTACCCTTGACAGACCACACTTTATTTCTACCTTTATGCTCAACTTTTTATACCTTTTCACTGTAGACCTGGAAAAGTGAAGCAGGAAGTCGTCATGCCATAGCCTGGATGAAAATTCCTGTCTTGAAATTCCTCTACCAAACAAATTAATCAGTCATCTTTACATTCAACTTCACTTAAGTCCTTAGAGCATGGGCAGAATGGAGCCACGGTATTGTCCAAAATGTCACATGGATGTCCTCTAGCCCAGTTTCTGACAGAGTCCTTGTTCCCATTAGAAACTTCAAGAGCTAGGTCTCCACCATCTGCATTTCTATTGGCATTCTTGTCTTCCAAGCTCGTACCAGAATGGCCTGTTAATCTTTACTTGTTGTACTCAAAGGCTTTACTGTCACAAAGTTCTGAATGCTTCTACATTCTGCCTGCAAAACCAGTTCAAGAGTGCTAAGAACTATATGGTCAGGTTCATCACAGCAACAACCCCACTCCTGGTATGAGTTTTCTGTCATAGTTAGGTTTCTTGTTATTCTGACAGAAGTAACTGAAGAGGAAAGGAGCTCAGTCTGGCTCATTGTTTGAGGGTAAAATCCATCACTATGGAGAAATCCTTGCAGGAGGAGCTTGAAGTAGCTAGTCACATTGTATCCACAGTCAGAAAGCAGAGGAAGATGAATGCCTGTGTTCAGCTGACTTCCTCCTTTTCATACAGTCTAGGACCTAAGCCCAGGGGATGATGTTAACTTTCATTACAGTGGGTCTTAATGCCTCAACTAATCTATCAAAATCACCTCTCACAGTCATGCCCAGGGGCTAACCCAATTTAAGTAAATTCCTCACAGATATGCCTAGAGGTTTCCTTCCTGGATAATTCCAGATCCTGTCAAGTTAGCACCCTGTCTTAATTTGCTTTCTATGGATGTGGTAAACACTATGACCAAATGCACCTTGGGGAAGAAGGGCTTTATTTCATCTTACAGCTTATAGTCCACCATGAAAAGAAGCCAGGGCAAGAACTCAAGGAGGGAAACTGGATGCAGGAGCTGAAGCAGAGACCATGCTTACTGGCTTGCTCCCCATGGCTTGCTCAACCTATTTTATTATACAGTCCAGAACCACCTGCCCAGTGATAGCATCACCAGCAGTTGACTGGGCCCTTCCCCATCAATCAACAATAGTTTTTTTAAAAAAAATGCCTAAAGGCTAATCTGATGAGGTCATTTTCTCAGCTAGGTTTCCTATTCCCAGATGACCCTAGTACAAGTTGACGAAAACAAAACAAACAAAAACAAAACAAACAAAAACAAAACTAGCACACTACCACAGTAAATAAATTTTATTTATTGTAAGTATAAACTTTAATTATGCAGACTTTTACTTTTATTATAAGTATTTTTATTCGCTTTTATTATATTTTCTTCTATTATTTATTTACTTTTATTATAAGTATTATTTTGCTATAAGTAAACTTTAACTATTCAGAGTTCAGCCACTGTTAAGAGACCACTGTCTCCTAAGGTCTTAATCTTGTGTTTTGATTACCTTGTACAAAGCCCTTAGGTGACTTACTCTTCCTATCTGTTTCTATAGGCTGTTGTATCCCTTCTCATCATGTTTGTGATCCAGTGGGTCTATACCCTATGTAGCATGGGTGTTGCTGTCATGGTGTATTTCTACATTGGCCAGGCCAGTCCAGGTCTTTACCTTGGTAAGTGGCTAAGTCATTGTGCTACCATTTCCCTTATTTTTTCTAGCTTTCACTGAAGAATTTTGTGTTCTATATTGTACACATAATTATAAATGAAATATGTTAGCAACTAATTTGAGATTTATAAGACCTATAGAATTAAAATGGATGACAACAGTGGTGAAAGAGCCAAGGATGAAATAATATGCTGACATAAAGTATACTGGCGTAGCATAATGTTATACATTTCCTATGCTATGAGTTAATGCTATAATGTCATTTGATGATGGATTGGGTTAAGTTTAAGATGTATAATATAAACCCTAAGTCAAACACTAGATAATTTAGTGAAGAGTTAAGGCTAATAAGTCAACAGAGGGAAACATTGAGTGGAAAAAAAAAAGTATTAAGAATTGGAGAAATGTCTCAGTGAGTAAAGACACTTGATGCCAAGTCTGACAACCTGAGTTTGATCCTCAGGACTCACAGGGTAGGAAAATAAAACTGACTCCTACAAGTTATCCTTTGACCTCCACACAGCTACTGTAGCGTGTGTGTGTGTGTGTGTGTGTGTGTGTGTGTGTGTGTGTGTGTGTGTGTGTTTGGAAATAAAATAATAAATATAATTTAAAAAATTAAAAGCACATCAAAGACAAAAAGAGTAAAAATAAGTGTGATAAAAGAATATTTATTGGGGTTGGGGATTTAGCTCAGTGGTAGAGCGCTTGCCTAGCAAGCGCAAGGCTCTGGGTTCGGTCCTCAGCTCCAACAACAACAACAAAAAAGAATATTTATTGATAATAATAAAACAAAGACATGACATGATGGTGTGTGCCAGCTCATGGGCAGTGAAAGTGGGAAGAAAGGTTCAAGGCCAGCCTGAATAAAGAGCAGCAGTGATTTATATAAGCCTATCTGTATTGATTATCACAGTAAACATAGATAGTTTAAACACTCCCAATTAATTGGCAGTTGAATAAAAAATGTGACCCAACTATATGCTGCCTACAAGAAACTTCTTTTAATTGATGAATTTATTTTTGCAGTGCTGGTGATCAAACCCAAGGCCTTTGTATACTAGGAAAGTACTTTGCCCTTGAACTACATCCCCAGCTAAAGAAATCTGTTTTAAATAAAAATCACACAAATAGGTTAAAAATTAAAAGGACGTGAAAATAAATACCAGGCTAACACCAATCAAAAGACAGCTGCAATGGCTACATTAACATCAGATAGATTTCAAAGGAAAGGCTGTTGCCAGTGGTCAAGAGGATGACTTGGTAAGATGAGGGGGGAAACACATGGAAAAAAACACAATAAACATTAACCTTCATGCCCTTAAAAGCAGAGCTTTGGAATACATGAAAATGGAATCTGATAGAATGAAGAAAAAATGGAAAAGATCATAGCCACATAAATTTCAACATCTGCCTCCAAATAATTGATATACATGGGCACACAGTTAGCAAGACCACAGAAAACTTGAGTAATACTGTCAACAAGTTTGTTCTAATAGTTATGGAATCTTCTCCCCACAAACAGCAAAATTCACAGTCTTTTCAGTAACAGGAAATACTCACTAGAATATTACAGGACACAAAGTTTCGGTAAATTTTGAAGGATTTAGGTCAATTGAAGAAAATATTTGTCTAAAAGGGGTAAATGATTAGAAATAAAAAACAGGAAGATAATGGGAAAATCCCCAAATATTTAGAAGCTAAAAAAAAATTCAATATCTAACAACAGTGAGCAAATTATAGAAACCAGCTGAAGTTTCAAAGAAGAAAACAGAACTGAAGTTACAAAATACTTTGAACCTAATGAAACCAAAAAGGGAAACTATCCAAGTTGTAAGATACAGCTAACAGAATTTCACAGCAGCATGTGTGTATGTCATCCAAGAAGAGAGTTCTCGAAGCAGTGACCTCAGACCCCAGCTTTGAACTTGAGAAATTAGAAAAGAGGAGGAGGAGGAGGAGAAAATTAAACCCAAAGTGGCAGGGGGTGGGATGGGACAAGGACACAGTAAGTATCATAGTAGAAATCAATAAGGTACAAAACAGACAAAAAAACAACAACTGAGAACACTGATGGTATTAGTTACTTTTCTGTTGCAGTGGAAAGTGCCGTGACCAAGGCAACTTACAGAAGGAAGGGTTTATTTGGGCTTAGGGCTCCAGAGGGGTAAGAGTCCACCATGGCAGCAAGCATCAGGCATGGAGGCAGGAACTGAATGCTGAGAGAGAACTCACATCCTGAACAAGTACAAAGCAGAATGAGAGCACAGAGAATGGGGGGAGGCTTTAAAACTTTGGAGTCTGCCCCCAGTAACATACCCCCTCCAGCAGGGCCACATTTCCTAAACTTCCCCAAACAGCACCACTATCTGAGGACCGAGTGTTCAAACACTAGTGTATATGGAGGATGTTCTCATTCAAACTGCCACCACACCAGTGTAACAAATGATCGTGTCAGAAGATCAGTAAGATCAGTAGGCCAGACTGGTCAGAATAAGATAAGGTACAAATGTCCCAAACCAGGAATAAAAGAGATTTTATCGTTGGAGAGCCTATACATTTGAAGAGGAAAATAACTGAGTATGATGGCACATGCCTTTAATCCCAGCACTCAAGAGACAGAGGCAAGCGGATCTCTGTGAGTTCAAGGCCAGCCTGGACTACATAGCAAGTTATATAGGCCAGCCAGGGCTACATAATAAGACCCTGTCTGAAACAAAAACAAAACAAATACAGAAAATAGAAAATGTCTCATTTCTAATAATAAAACAGAATATCATAAGCTGGACAATTTATAAACAACAAAAAATTATTTGGCTGAGGGTTCTGGAGACTTGGAAGCCTAGGATCAGAGGCTACTTAGGTGAAGGCCTAATTGATGCCTTATAACAGAGAGAAAGGCATCCCATGGCAGATGTGGACGTAGAGACAGGGATGAGAAGGAAGGAGAGGAAGAAAGATGGAATAATCTTTTTATCAGGAACTCACTCCCTAGATAACTAACCCACTCCCTAGATAACTAACCCATTCCTTAGATAACTAACCAGCTCCCAGGATAAAGCATCACTTCAGTTAAGAGAACAGAGCCACCATGGCTGAACCATCTAGGGATCCTGCCTTTCAACACTTATATTAGAGATTAAGTTCCCACACATGAACTTTGGGGGACACATTTAAACCATAGCACATAATTTATATTTTTCCTTAATAACAAAGCAATTTTAAAGATGCTGAGTAATACTCCATTGTGTAAATGTACCACATTTTCATTACCTATTCATCAGTTGATGGACATCTAAGCTGTTTCCATTTCCTGGCTATTGTGTATTTACACAATGGAATACTAGTCAGCTATTAAAGATGAAATTATGGAATGTACAGGTAAATGAATGAAACTAGAGTCATTGTAAGTAAGGTAACCCAGACTAAGAAAGACAAATGTTGCATGTTTTCTCTTATATGTGGATATTAGCTTGGAATCTTTAGATAAGTATGATTCATTTGGAATACCCATAGAGATTAGGAAACTAGGAAGGGACCATTGGGGGTGTGCTTTTAAGAGAAGGAACATACAATACAGCAATATAACAGGAGAAGAGAGAACAATGGATCGGGGAGATTAAATGGAGTGGGAGCGGGAGGCAGGGTAGAGGAGGGACTACGGGGAAGGATTACTAACACTTTTGAAAAAGCCATTCTTACTGCTGTAGACACTTCATAAGATATACATATATAAAAATAGTTTAAAATGGAGTTACCCTACGATGAGGGGACAGTACTCCAATAAGATACCATATGCTAGCAAATAAGAACCCCAGAACCAGAACGGGTTACCTCTTTTGAATCCTTGGCTGGCGAGGTCCCACAGACCCCCCCCCCCAAACATTACAGGTGATTTCCACTCTTCTTGGTTCCCCTCTAGAATTTGGCTAGCTTTCATGGTGCTGGAAGGTGCTATGCATGGTACTGGAGGAGAAAAGTAATCATCAGTCTCACCCCCAGCTGTGAACCCTGTGAACTACAATAATAGCGGACCTGGCAGGATATGCCCACCAGTGCAATAATGGTACAAACGTTATGGGAGTAACCAACCACCTTCTGCTTGCTCTAAGGTCCACTCCATGAGATGGAACCCCTATGTGGCACTGTAATGGGGCCAAGAACCTGTGGATAGATAGACAATAAGCCCCAAGGGAGAACCTAATACTATTAAATAGACACAGCATTGAAACACCCCTAATGACTTATTGCTGCACTCATAGATCAGTGTAGCTATCAGCCATATCAGAGAAAATTTTTCTTGAAGTGGATGGCAATGGACACAGAGACGCTCAACTGGTCGACATCTAGAGCATAAGAAACTGGGGAGAGCTTATTCCTATACGGGCCATACATACCACATTCCTCACCCTGAGGTTCATGATCTCCACACAGGGACAGAAAGACCATAAGGTGGTAGAGAACTTCAAGGAAACAGTCCTTTCCAGACATAACAGGGCGGTTACACATATAGACTCACAATGATTAGGACTGTGCCCAAGACTTGTTGCAAGCTCAAGTCAGACAAAATCCCGACATGGACAGAGGGAGACAGGAACAAAATCCACTGCTAGAAAAGGAGCATTTGAAAACTACTGGGAGAGGGAAAATCAATTTTTTAAAAAATTTATCTTTGAGACAGGGCTCAAAGAAAGGTTCCTAGCTGACCTGGAACTCAAAATACTTAGACCAGGCTGGCCTTGAATTCACAGAGATATGCCTGCCTCTGCTTCCCAAGTTCTGGGATTAAAGGCGTGTGCCACTGTACCCAGCCTGGGAGTCAGTTTTCTTTAATGGTGTGACCTCTAGTAGGTTAACCACACACTGAGGTTGTCCCCACTCCCAAGAGCAGTTGGACAACACTCAATGGGTTTAAAGAAGAAAATTGGAAGTCTGGTGGATAGCGGGGAGGTGCAGGTAAATCTGGAAGGCGTTGGGAGAAAGAACAGTGAATATGATAAAAATTCATTGTATGAGATTCTCAAATAATTAATAAAACATTATTATTATTATTATTATTATTAGGTTTTTTTTGAGACAGGGTTTCTCTGTGTAGTTTTGGTGCCTGTCCTGGATCTCGCTCTGTAGACCAGGCTGGCCTCTTATTTTTTAAAACGATACATTAAGTTGGGGGAGGGACTGGAGAGATGGCTTGGGAGTTTAAAGTACCTTCTCTGCTTGCAGAGGAATCAAGTTCACCTCCCAGCACCCACATGGGGTGGTTTACAACTTCCTACAACTCTACTTCAGGCCTCTTCAGACCTGAACTCTTATGAACATACCCACACATAGAGACATACTTAAAAATAAAAAAGAAATATTTTTTAAAAGATGTGTTGGATGGGTGGTGGTGACTCAGACCTTTAATCCCAGCACTCGGGAGGCAGAGCCAGGAGGACCTCTGTGAGTTCAAGGCCAGCCTGGTCTACAGAGTGAGTTCCAAGAAAGGTTCCAAAACTACACAGAGAAACCCTGTCTCAAAAAACCAACCAAACAACCAACCAACCGAACAAACAAACAAAAAACCAAAAAAAAAAAAAAAAAAAAAAAAAAAGATGTGTTGGAGGGCTACAGATGTAACTAAGTGCTGGTATAGTATGCCCAAAGCCCTGAGTTTAATCCCTAGCACTACACACACACACACACACACACACACACACACACACACACGTAAAATAAATGAATTAATATCACCAGATGTGGTGGTACATACCTTCAATTCCAACACCCAGGAGACAGAGATGGGCAGATCTCTGTGAGTTCAGGGCCAATCTAGTCTACATAGTGAGTTCTGGGCCAGATAGAGCTACACAGCAAAGCCCTATCTCAAAAACAAAAAGTAATTAATCAAGTCCTAACTAAGTCAGATGGACAGGAACAGTCTAGACATACTGAAAAAAAGTTCTTCAGAATTACAGAAGTTTGGCATATTATTTTTACAGAAATGCACTTCAGATATTTAAAATGAAAACATGTACTAAAAATAATGTCTTCGAACAGCAGTAATGCTGTGAAGAGGTCCTGTATCATCTAATTTTGCAGATAGAATATATTTTAATTAACATAATGATTACATCAATGATTGCTTCATCTTAGGAAATCTAAATATTTTCCCAGAAATCCAATCACAGGAAAGTATGAAATAAAATTTCAGGCCAGTGTCTATAATTTAGATAATTTAGAATTTAAATGATCATATATAAGTAAGATCAACAAATAACAGTTTTATTTTGTGTCTTCTTACAGAATATATATTGATTACCTGAATATATTAGGATTCTCTCTCTGCAATTACATATACTATTGCAGATCTATAATGTTTGCTCTGTTTCACCACAGGAGCCCTACACGATACTGAAACAAGATTTTAATACAAGCCTCTTGAAATACTGTTGATTTCCTGATCATGTATTAAACATGATCTCACTAGTCAGTTTCAACTATATCTGTTCATATACTTGAGGAACGCCTTTTCTTAAATTATGGTGGATTAATTTTCCAAAGTCATACATAATTTGAGCTGGGCATGGTGGTGCATGCCTGCAATCCTAGCACTTGGAATGCAGAGAAAGGAAGCGTGGACTAGCGTGGACCCCTGTCTTGTGGGGGTGGTGTTATATATAACTTATCATGCCAAGGTTGTGGTGGTTTGAAGGAAATGTCTTTGGCGTCTGAATACGTGGTCCCACTTGGTGGCACTGTTTGGGGAGGCTGAAGAGATGTAGCCTTGCTAGGGGAAATATGTCACTAGATGTGTGCTCTGAAGTTTCAGAAACCACACAAGGTTTTAAAGCCACATGCTGGTCCCAGTTTGATTTCTTGGCTTCCTGATTGTGGTTTAAGATGTGAACTCTCACCTTGCTGCTCCAGACTCTCTGCCTGCCTGCTGCCATGCTTCCTTTCAGTGACAGTGATAGACTCTAACCCCCTGGAACCATAAGCCCAAATAAATCCTTCCTCCTATAAGTTGTCTTGGTCATGGGGTTTTATGACAACAACAGAAAAGTAATAAGACAGATCATCAACAAAGGGATTTGGTTTTGTTGTTGTTGTTGTTGTTGTTTTGGTTTGGGTTTTTGAGATAGGGTTTCTCTCTATAATAATACCCCAGGCTGTCCTGGAACTCGCTTTGTAGACCAGGCTGGCCTCAAACTCACAGAAATCTGCCCGTCTCTGCCTCTGCCTCCCGAGTGCTGGAATTAAAGGTGAGCACCCCCACCACCACCACCTGGCCAAGGATTTATTTTTTTATTTTTTGGACAAGACCTTACTATGTAGCCCAGGCTGGCCTAGAGTTCTCTATGTAGACTAGATTGGCCTCAAACTCATGGAAATCTGCCTGCCTCTACCTCCCGAGTGCTGGGGTTAAAGGTATGTACCACACCAGCCCAGATAAGGCGTTTTTATTTGTTTGATTGAGATGGGGGGGTCTCACTTGGTAACCTGCACTGGTCTGAAATTCAATATTTATGTGACATATAATATATAACATATATTCTATAATAATATATTATAGAATAATTATATAATATAACCATATAAATATGTTATATTTACAAATATGTAATATTTATATGTTACATTATACAACATATTAATATTAATATAATTATATATTATTTAGTATATAATTTATAATGCATAATAACTATATGCAATAACATGTTGATATTATAAGTAATATAAATATATATTTTATATAAAACATATAGTATATAATAAATAAATATGTGATATAATGTTATATAAATATATATTTCACTATATATGTATATTTAAGGTTGAACTTAGATCAGTGTGTCATAGACAAAGGTTCTTTTGGCCAATACAAAAACCAAAAAAAAAAATAAAAACACCTCGCTTCAACCATTTCTGCCCGCTGAACTATGTTGTTCACTTAACACCCGTTAGAACCTTCCTAAGTGCCAGATCCTGTGAGGTTATGAGGATGGAGAAGCCATGTTCCCTGTTCTCAGAGTGTGGTCCTGGTGGGGGATTGCACAGCATGCATTCAGCACACACATGTGACTCTAAGAAGGAGTATCGTGAGAATGTGTGTTAATTCCTAAGGCAGAAGCAGCACGTGTCCTTCTTTCTCTACAGTAGGCTCCACCTAGTCTCCTCCAAAGGTATTGTAGAAATGAGTTTCTGGAAACTGTCCATGAGCACGAGGCAGGCTCCTGCCAGGCTGTATGATAGTGAATGCTCTTAGGTTCGAGTGGGAAAGCATGCTCATTCTGTGTATGTACACGCACATGAAAGTTGTGTGTGAGTGTGTTAAGGGGTGTGTAAGCCCCTAATGAAGCTGGGGTTCAAGATGTCTATGAAAAATCCTCGAAATGTGTGTTCATATCTTCCTCACAGGCTCAGCCTCCAACTTCAGCTTTTTCCGATGGATGAAGTCCCTCCTGATGCCCTCCTGCAGGTCTGTGCCCATGGGGGCTGGTACAAGGGTGGACAAGAGCCCAGGAGTCTTGTTTCTGACTGTGCTTGGGCCTAGACTGTGGTGTAGAACTTGACAGTGGAGAAGCTCTGGGTGGCTGGTGTTTGCTCCTCATGGTCCTCACACTCAGTACCCAGCACTTACTCCTCACTGTCCTCACTCAGTACCTAGCACTCACACTTCACTGTCTTCACACTCAGTACCCAGGACCTGCTCCTCATGGTCCTCCATACTCAGTACCCAGCACTCACTCCTCACTATCCTGAACGCCTCTTTCCCAGCTTTGGCTCCTCAGAACCTCCTACAGGCTCATGCCCTCTCCCTTCATGTCCTCAGTCTTTCTGAGCCGACCCTTCATCTAGAGTCTGAATATTGGGTGACAAGTCACCAGAGCTGATCTCAGGAGTTGACGGTCTGAGTCACATTCCCACCAGTAATTAATCAGGCCCAAGATCAAAGCCTAAGGGAATGTGAAATTGGATCTCATGTTTCCCATCTCAGGCCAAAGGTGGCTGGTGTCATTGTACTCGTGACAGATACTATAAGCCAAGTATGGGCACGGATGAGACGCTGTGAAGGACTGCAGTAAGCCTGGCATGTGTGCGCAGGTGCAAACACATGCGCGCACCGCGCACGCACACACACACACACACACACACACACACACACACACACACACACACACACACACACACACACACAGAGGAACGGGGACCTTATCCTGAAGGGAATGTTCCCTGATGCCCCTTCCCTCTGGCTCCTTCCCACCCTAGTAGGAAGCCCAAACTTCCTCATCCTTTAAGGCCTCAGGGTTCTGGAAACGGCTTCTGCCCCGTGTTTCCTTTCACCGTCAGTGGGAAGCCAAAGCTGAAGGCCAGGCAAGCCCGAGCAGAATACAGCCCAGGGCTTATTTGATTTCATCTTGATGGTTTGGTTTTGAAACCCTAGACGTGCGGGTCGTGTTTGCCAATGTCTGCACCTTCCACGCCCAGTCATTGCTAACGAAATTAGGACCCGTTCCCATTGATTCCAGATGTAGGCATGGATCCTTTCTCCTTCTTTGTGTTTACCCCCCTAGGTTTTGTTGTTGTTGTTGTTTGTTTGTTTTTGTTTTTTTTTTGTGTGTGTGTGTGTGGTAAAACACACATAACATAAATGTATCATCTTAATCATCTGTAAGTGCATATTCATGGTATTGAATACAATCATATTGTCATATAGTCATCAACACTACTCATCTCCAGAATCCAAACTCTATGAACCATCACTCTGTACTCCCTGAAATCCTTTTTCTTTTTAATTATATGTATTGGAGAAGGGAGTATATGCACATGAGTGTAGGTGCCTTAGGAGGCCAGTTATTAGACTCCTCTGGAACTGGAGTTACAGGCAGTTGTAAGCTGCCCGACTTGAGTGCTGGGAACAGAACTCGGGTCCTCTTCAAGAGCAATGCTTTCTCTTAACTACCAAGCCATCTCTCCAGCCCCTACCCCTGCATCCTTGTTGAGACAGCGCTCTGAAAATACTGCTAATCTGTTCAAGTTGGCACAGGGAGTGAGAATTTGGTGCTATAGCTTGGGAGGACAGAGAGAAAGGTGTTAAGGTTATGGAAAAAAAGGGAGGAGTCGAGATGTGAGGGCCCGGAAATGGAGGATGGGAATAGAGTGAGAGCCTCTCTGTCGGCCGCATTTCCTGGCTGCTGTATGTCCTCCTTGGAGCTGTGGTGAGTGTGGGGTAACCTCTGCCTCTCTTCCTGTCTGAGGCATGAGGCTGGATGGCCCAGGTCGCAGCACACCTACCCAGATCTCTTTCCCCCATAACCTAGTACTGAGAGAAAGTGGATTAAGTAGAAATAGGTTTGGTATAGAAGCCGCCTACAAAATTTTGAGCTTCAAATGTGTGGGTGGGGATATTTGGTATAATCTGATTTACGAGAATGTATTTAGTCATTTCTGGCTTGAAAGCCTAAAAAAAAATGACGGTGGAGTTTACCACAGGTCCTTCAGCTGTACTCTGAATTCCTAGGATGTCACCATCAAGGTCCCTGTGTTAGGAGGGTGTTCCTAGGGAAAGACAGCCCTTTGGTTGGAACAGAAGTTACTCCACACGACTCCTCCTTCAGTACCCAGCTCTGGACTAGTGAAGTGGAGTGTGGAGCCTTAGCCAAGTCAGCATCAAACTTGCTGGCCCCACCACAGCTCCTGGGTGTGTTTTGTGATGATTTAGGGATGGGAAGGGCCAAGAAGTGGTTTAAAAATAGAAATTGGTAGCCTTGCTTTCTGCCTTGTACTTTTGACTTTTTCCAAAATGTCCTTCAGAACCAAGGGCCTGCCACTGTTAAGTGTGTTTGGGCAGGAGGGTTTGCTGTGTCCTGTCCTCTATTATACCTGTACCTCACAGTTACTCTGTGAGGTCAGCCCTGACTTTTAGAAGGCTATCTTCCCGGGAGCCATAGCAACTGTCCAGATGAGAGTCTGCAAACCATTCTAGGAAGCTGGTTTCCCTGAATCCAGAAGAATGCATGGCTTTTGCCTGTTCAAAGCAAAACAAAACATATATGATTGTCTAGTGTGGCATTTTGGCCACTTCTGTTTTGTGGATTCCACTCTTAGAGAAACAAATTCAGTTTTTAGGAACTCTTAACCTAACTCATTTAGATATGTTCTCAACAAATGGCTGTATTGCCCGGATCATGTGATCGGATGCTTTCCAGAGTCAGCGAACACTGCTGTTTAAGTTCTACCTTAGACATCTGTCTTTTCACATTGCTCTTGATCTTTTTACATCCCTGATTTGAGCACTTGAATGTTACTCTGAGGGAAAGATGTTCAGAGGAACTTTGTGCTTCTGTGAGAGCTCAACAACCTGACAGACTATGGACCTGGAAAGGCCACGGAGGGGTAAGAAAACAGGCCTGTGGAGACAGAGGCATCCCGAGGCCACTAACTGATGAGGGACAGAGCTTAGAGCAGTAATGCCTTCCCCAGCCCCTAATCCCTTCCTCGGGAACCAGCCTGGAACATGATCTTCACTGGTGTGTCCACCTGGATGTGCGGAGGCTGGTGTCAGTGGACTCTGAAGCTGGGCTTCTCTTTGTCCTTACCAGTTTGGTCCCCAAAGCCTTGGCGCTTTACCCCTTAGCTGCTTGTGAAGTAAACTTGGTGCCTTGGAAACCACTCCTCATTCAACTTCCTTCCTTCCTTCCTTCCTTCCTTCCTTCCTTCCTTCCTTCCTTCCTTCCTTTTTTCCTTCTTTCTTTATTCTCTTCCCTTCTTTCTTTCCTTTTTTTTCTTTTTTCTCCCTCTCTCCTTCCTTCCTTCTTTTTTATAGAATATCTTTTGTTTGTTTTTCTGTTGATAATTTCATGCATGTAATCAATGCGTCTTGATCATGTGCACCCAGTCCCCCGGGTCCCTGCAGCACACCCTCCCCCTTCCCATCTCATGTCCTCTCCATGTAACAACCCTGAATCCAATAAGTGTTGCCCGTTGGAATGGTCATTGATCTTGTTGACTTGACTGTGTGTGAGCAATCCCAGCTGCAGTGAGCTCATGAGTGCCGTGTCCAAAGGACAGTATTTCACGGCACCCCTCCCTATTCTCTGGCTCCTTCATTCTGCTCCTCTTGCTTATGCTCCCTCAGCCTTGGTGACAAGGATTGATACAGACATCTCATCTAGGGCTTAGTGCTCAATAGACACTCATTCTCAGTACTTTGACCAGTTATGAGTCTTTGTATTAACGGATGCCCGCTGCAGAGCGAAGCTTCTCTGGCTAAGGTGGAGGGCAGCTAATCTGTGTATATAAGCAATAACCTTAGAAGGCTGTTTGACAACAGGTTCTTTAGTAAAACAACAGTAGAAGCTTCCTCCCTGGGTCCTGTAAACCATAACTCTCGACCAGGTTTATGGTACTAAGCCTTAATTCTTTCCTGTGAAGCAGGCTCAAATCCAATCCAAAAGCAGTTGGTTACACCCACAACCTTCCCGCCATTACTGCAGCCATAGGCACATCCTGTCCGGAAAGGAGGCATTGCAGTATGCAAGGTTGGCTGTAGGGATACCACGGATACCTTTTCTCCCCAGCAGCCTGTGTAACACCTCAACTCACTTCCTAGTGACTCACAGTGGTTTCTCTCTCCACTCTTCTCCAGTCTGTAGATTTGCCATTCCGTTGTCTCATTTGGCAAGAGCACAAGGAAAAGTTACAGAACTCTCGCAACACCGTCTTCAGTGTGGGCCTCTCTTATCGGAAAGCACATTTTTATACTGTCCCACTTAAGAACAGTTAGTGTTACTCTCTTCGCTTGCTGCCATGTCTCCTACTTTGAGTTCACAGACTGTTATAGTTCTCAGCAGTTAGGTTTTAAACATTTGAATACAGGCTGAATGTTAGGACAGCTGGCGTTTGCACAGTGTCTCTATGCAGGGAAGACTGACTTCCACTGCTCATCTGCGTCTTCCTCTCTCCTCCCCATCCGTTGTCTCCCACTGAAGGAGCCTGAGGTCCACCCGGGAGCAGATCATCTTGGCACCATCCCCAGCCAAGGTTGCCATGGCAATGACTCAGCTTACCCAGGAGAACACAGACTTTGCCACCCGAGATCGCTACCACCATTCCTCCCTCGTGAGTCGGGAACAGCTGATGCCTCCCTACTAGACCCTTGCTGGACTCCTCCTTTCTAGAAGCTGCCCCGGAGATGGGGGACCCAAATCTCAGAACCTTTGGAAACTGCTTCTACCAATGAGAAACCCCAAGACTGGTCTTCCCTCACAGCCTTGGATGGCAGAAATCACCTTCTAGTCTGAACTGGCTTGTCTCACCAGACTCTAGGTGTGGCCATGGCTTCCACATGTACCCAACCTGAACAGCCCACAGGCTACCAGGGTGATCATTTGACACCAAGACAATCAGATGTGGAGAACCAAAACCAGATTTCTTATTGTAAAGGGCACAATAAATACTTATTTTAATTTTATTGTTTTTTTTTTAAAGTATACACTACACTTGCATTTGGTTCCAAGTCACAAAGTATAATTATATGCAGGATAAAAGTCTCCTTCTTCTCATCTGCTTGGTGCCCATCCCCCACCACAGAGGCAACCACTTCTCACACATACAGCAGCCATCTCTTTACACATAGGAAAGGGGGTTCTTATACCTTCCTATCCACAAATGCAGTCTGCATACATGCTCCACAGCATCTTGCCTTGGAAGCATTTCCACGATGGTGCTTACACAGTTTCCTCATGATGTTGCGATGTCTGAATACACCATCGTTTATTCAATCAGTCTCATGATGACGGCATTTTGATTCATTCTGATTTTCTTGCTATTACAGACACTTCTGCAATGAGTCAGTCATTATGTTTAAACGTGTGCACAGTCGTGAAGGGTACCCGCAGATAAGTCCTCAGAAGGAGAACGCAGGATCAGCGGGAATGTGCATTTGTGGGCTGTTAGTGTTTGGAGAAGTGCTTTTTAATTAAAGGGTCAAATAACAGGCCAGGCAGGCATGGTATTCACCTGGAATCCCAGGACTCGAGAGATGGAGACAATCTGGGCTGTGTAACAAGACCCTTTATCAAAGTGGGTGGAGGGAAGAGAAGGAAATAAATGATTATGAATTGCCTAACCATGACTGGTGTTGTTAGAAATGTGTGTAGTCCCCGACTCCCCGACACCTTTGCAGCTGTTTTGTGACCTGAATAGCGTGAGGTGACAGAACTCTTGGTTCTTCTGTGAGCTGGGCCTGGCACTCTTCATGAGTATCCAGCACTGGGGCCCAGGCTTCCTGGTAAGTTGAGCCCCTGGCCCAGGCTCCAGTTCCACTGAGCATGGAGGGATGGACTGCTGGGTCTCTTTAGACTCTTCTGTACACTTTCCTGAGATGCTATGCTGACCTTGCCTACGGCATGGGCTGCACATCTTTAACAAATGCTACCCACAATTCAGTGCGGGATACACTGTGAACACATTTTATAAAACACCTGTATATTAGAAGGGAAGGTGTGGTGATATATGTGTACCCTAATAAAATTTGCCTGAAGATCAGAGAGACAAAGGAACAAGCCACTGCCATGTCTCACCTCACCAATTCCACAAATCCTCTGACTGAAATCCTCTGAGTCCTCACCCGAAAGACTCCAGCCGAAAAAGCCTCTAGTTCCTGTCTCTTCACACCCTATATACCTTTCTCCACCCAGCCATCACTTCCTGGGATTAAAGGCCTGTGTGCTCCCCAGTACTGGGATTAAGGTATGTGCCACCACTGCCTGGCTCTGTTTCTCTCCTAGACTGAGTCAATCTCATGTAGTCCAGGGTGGCTTTGAACTCAGAGATTCAGACGAATCTCTGCCTCCTGAGTGCTAGGATTAAAGGTGTGTGCCGCCGGGTGGTGCTGGTGGTGGTGGTGGTGGTGGTGGTGCAGCCGGGCGGTGGTGGCGCACGCCTTTAATCCCAGCACTTGGGAGGCAGAGGCAGGTGGATCTCTGTGAGTTCGAGGCCAGCCTGGTCTACAGAGTGAGTTCCAGGAAAGGCACAAAGCTGCACAGAGAAACCCTGTCTTGAAAAACAAAAAAATAAAATAAATAAATAAATAAATAGATAAATAGATAAATAAATAAAGGTGTGTGCCACCACTGCCTGACCTCTATGTCTAATCTAGTGGCTTGTTCTGTTCTCTGATCCTCAGGCAAATTTTATTAGGGTACACAATATATTACCACAGGAAGGCTTAGAGTACATGAGGGCTGAGAAGGGCATGAGGGGTGAGTTAAAACTTAGAACCTTCTTCTGTTCTGGAAAACAAGATCTCATTCGCTACATCTGAAAACGATACCCAGCTTTGCTTAAAGAACAAATGTTGGAGCACCTTTAGACCCTTTGAAGGAGTGCAGACTTTGGGATGGAATAAACTTGTGGGAATGGAAGCACCATAAAAAGAGCCAGCAAGCTGGCCTGTCGAGGGGATTTGCCGCCGAACCTGACCATCTGAGGGCTATTCCCAGAGTCCACAAGATAGAAGGGGAGAGCCAACTTTTACAAGTTATCCTCTGACTTCCATAGGTGTGCTGTGATTTACACCACACATGAGCATGCACACACACACACACACACACACACACACACACACACACACACACAGAGTAAAAAAAAAAAAAAACAAAAGACAGACTGAGGGGCTAGAGAAACGGCTTAGTGTTTAAGAGCTCACAAGTACCTGTAACTCCAATTCCAGAGGATCCAGTGCCTGCTGGCCTGCATGGGTACTTGCATGCATGCAGCACACATAACCTCATTTAGGCACACACATTCATTCACATAAAGCTTTTAAATATTTTTAAAGGCTGGACAGGCTGGAGAGAGGGTTCAGTGGTTAAGAACACTTCGTGCTCTTCTAAAGGACCCAGGCTCAATTCCCAGGACCTACATGGTGGCTTACAACTGTCTGTAACTCTAGTTCTAGGGGACAGAGACCCTCTCCTGGCCTTCGTTTACACCAGAGAAGGTAGTATACAGCCACACAGGCAGGCTAACATCAATACACATAAAGTACAAAAAGGACAGGCTGAGCTGGGCATGGTTAATAACAAACAGCACTTAGGAGGCTGAGGTAGGAGATGTGAAATAAAGCCAACTGTTCATGAAAAGCCGAGGGCAGTGATCCCTGAGGACCTGTTTTGTTTTTGTTTCATTGACAGGGTCTTAATGTGGTTCAGGTTAGCCTGGAACTCACTATGTAGCCCAGGCTAGCATTGAACTTGTAGTCCTCTGGACTCAGCAGCCATATCTGAGCCCTTTTAAAGAAGAACCTGTGTTCATGAAGTTTCCTGTGGCCACTGTAATTAATCACACAGACCAGATACCTTTAAAAACAGCAGGAATACATTTTTCTTCCTAACTGTGGAGTATAGGAATTTCAAGTCAGTCTTACTGAGTCAAAAACCAAGGCCAAGAAGCAGGATTGAACCCCCACCCCCAAGCTCTGGAGGAATTTGTTTTGTGCTTTCTCTAGTTTTGGTGGCTGCCAGCATTCCTGGATTTGTGTCCATGTTACTGCAATTCAAAGCCAACACCACAAGTCACAGCTCCCATGCATTGCCTTCTGGGGACGTGTGAAGTCCATCTTCATTTTTATCTGTTTTATAATGAGGCCCAAGATAACCTAGACTGAGCCTTGATTTAATCACATTTGCAAATGCATTTTTGACGTGAGGAGACATTTGCAGGGCCTGAGAAACAGGACATGGTATCTTTGAGACCATTTTCTGCCCATCACAGAAGACTTTGGCTGCTTCTGCTTTTTCTGTTTTGAATTCTGCATGCCAGGTTAAAAGAGCAGCCACTCTGAAGAAAAAGGCAGTGAGCCGGGATGTCCACAGAGCTTGAATAAGATGATACCAAGGCCACAAATAATGCACAGAGACTCAAGAAGAGCATCCTTAGTCCGATGTGATTCATCTTACAGAGAGAAGAAAAAGAGAGGACCCAGTCATTATGATAATTGGAAACTGTATGCTCAGTGTTGGGACACCAAAATGAATAGCTCAGTGTTGTGGGGCAGGGGCAGGTGGTAAGCAGGTTGAACCTCTAATAGGATCCAAAATTCTTGTATTTAACCCCAGCTAGATCACATAGTTGTAACACCTATCAGGCCTCAGCCTAGGTTCCTTGGAAAGTAAATGTTTACAAGCTACCACTTTAATAAGGAGTGAGAGGCAGAAGTGAGAGGAGAGAGAACCGAGGCAAAAAGGACAGATTGACAGCCACGCAGGAGCTTTTGAAGGGCCCGAGAGACTGCAGAACACCTGTCTCAAGACCCTCTTCCAGATGGAGAAGGAGTCAGAATTTATCTCTTGGTTCCTATTTCCCCAAACTAAAGGGGGAGCCCAGGTGGACATTGGCCACCTGCACTTGTAATGTGCACATGCATAAGTGCCTAACAGTTCTGTGTGAAGAGAGCCTGTCTGGAGTCTACATGGAAGGAGTCAACCAGCTGAGATGGAACCAGTAGCCTGACCAATGACAGGTGGTGTAGATGGGACCTCAGATGGCGCATTAACAAGTGTCATATAAAACCCATATATTGCAGGTCTCTACGATGACTAAACATGCCCGTCAGTGGCTCATTCAGACAAGGTTTGTGTATGTATTAGTCAGGGTTCTTTAGAGGAACAGAACTGAATATATAAGATATCAGAATATCAAATGGAGTTAGAGGCAGCTGTGAGCTGCCTGATATGGGTGCTGGGACTTGAACTCAGGTCCTCTGCAAGAGTAGAATAGCTCTCTTAGCCACCCAGCCACCTTTCCAGTCCATTCTCTGGGGCGGGGTGCAATGCTTCGGTTGACAAGTAGTAGATAAACGCAGCTGATGTCAGCAGTTTGAGTCAAAGCCCCTGGTATCTAATGCATTTCCTCTTGAGTCTAAACTCTAACGCCAAAGTCCCTTCAATGAGGAGCCAGAACCAAGGCCCAGTCCGCCTTGTCACCAATAGCATGTGAAAAGAGAGGTGACAACTTCACAATCCTTACCATTCAACTGAGTGAACTAATGAGCATGGGGACTGATGAACTAATCGAACCCAGGGCCTCATGCATGGTAGGCAAGCACTCTTCCAACTGAGCGCTACATCCCCAGCCCAACTTTCTACTGCTGCTGCAACAAATTCACTGTCTTGAAACAACAAAAGTATGTTCTCTTACAGTTATAGAGGTCAGAAACCCAAAATGGGTCTTGATGAAATAAATTGATGGTGCAAACAGAGCCATGGTCTCTAGAGCAGTGGTTCTCAACCTGTGGGTCTCGACCCCCTTGGCTAACCTCTGTCTCCAAAAATATTTACATTATGATTCATAACAGTAGGAAAATTACAGTTATGAAGTAACAATGAAAATAATGCTATGGTTGGGAGGTCACCACAGCATGAGGAGCTGTATTAAAGGGTCACAGCATTAGGGAGGGTGAGGACCACTGCACTAGAGGCTCTAGAGGAGTTGATTGATTCCTCCAGCTTCTAGGAGCTGCTTTTATTCCTCGCTCTTGTGCCTTCCAGCTTTACCCCAGTCATCAGCAAGCACACTCTCTCCAGCCTCTGCTTCTCCATCACAGCTCTTTTTCTGACTCTCCTGCCTCCCTCTTCTGCTTTTAGGGGCCCTTGTGATTATTCTAGACCCACCGAGTAACCCAGCATAATCTCCCCATCTCAGAATCTATAGTCATATGTGCCCAGATCTCTTTGCTATGTCAGTCACATATCCACAGGTTCCAGGGATGAGGATGCCGCCATCTTTGAGGGGCATCCTCTGCCTCCTGTATCTGATATGCTTAGGTGCAGAGGAGAATGATGCTTCACTTAGGAAATGGCTGAATGGATGTCCAAGGGACTCAGCAGACAGCCAAATCCTTTGCTTCAAGAGGACCTCAGGATTGCTGGGGAGACAAGGGAGGCAGGAACCCAGATTGTGAAGTGAATGTGAAACCATGTTTGTTAGACAATATGGGAAGAAAGGCTGAGAAGGTGGCTTAGTATGTAAGAGGCCTTGCTGTGCAAGCATGAGGATCTGAGTTCAAATCCCCCACACCCACATAAAAGCCAGGTGAAGCCTCCTCACACATGCATAGAAGTGTGA